AGCCCGAGGGGCGGAGACAAGAACGGCTGGAAAAGGGGATCCGGATTTCCCCCCCCTCTCCGTCCCCTCCCGTCCTCGGTGCTGCTCCCGGTGCTGCGGGAGCGCCTGGAGGGACCTGCGGGGCTCCAGTGCCACCTGCCGGGGACACCGCGCACGAGCCACCCGGGGACTGGGATGGGACCGAGGAGAAAAAGTGGCTCAGGGGGGACCTTATCGTGCTATAGAACTACCTGGAAACAGATTGTAGCCAGGTGGGGGGGGGGGTCTCTTCTCCCAGGTGACAAGTGATAGCACAAGAGGAAATGTCCCTGAGAGGTCTAGGTTGGGTATTTGGGAAAAATTCTTCGCCAAAAGGGTTGTCCAGCCCTGGAACAGGCTGCCCAGGGCAGTGGTGGAGTCGCCATCCCTGGAAGTGTTCGAAAACCGCGTGGATGTGGCGTTCACAGACACGGGGTAACCTGGCAGTGCTGAGTTCATGGCTGGACTCGCTCTCAGAGGGCTTTTCCAACCTAAATGATTCTGTGATTCCAAGCTCATCAGGCTTTGTGGCTTCTGCCCAGCACCAGTGACACCGAGCTGGGGGATATACACCCATCAGCTGATCCTATAGCGTGACACAAATAAAAACTAATTTGACTGCAAAAGGCTCTTTAGTGTTTAATTTAGCTGTATCCTGAATTCCACATTGCACGGAGGGGAGCGGATTTTCCATGGCGTCTGGACACTAGCCAGCAGTAGGGTCTCTTAAAGGAAAGGGACACACTTCAAACAGTTCAGTGTTTGACATAAATCCATTGTGTCCTGACTATTTTCTTATTTGGTAGCTCTTAATCGCGACGGTTCCAGACACGGTGCATTTGTGGGGTTTATTTTAGTAGCAGGATGTTGGCTGCATTTCAGAATATGGACATACATATCCAGAGAAAGCCCAGGGTAGCCATCTTCTGGGAATCTGCAATAAAAAAAGGGCTAATCCTGCTCTGCAGATGATGCAAGCCAACTGCAATCCTTCTGCTCTCAGCTGCTTTCTTCTGGATTCACATCAGCATCGCTGAGAACTGCACAGGGTCCCAGCTGCCAAAACCAGCTCCAGCAGGGCAAGCCATCTGCCTGCTCCAGCTGGTTTGGGGCCAGTCACACATTAACTCCTTTAAACAGGTCTGTGTTAAGGTGTCACCCTTCCAAAACGCTGCTCCAGATTCGCTGGAGGTCTAAAACAGCCGAGTTCAACGATGTTACACTGCGGTGGAATTTGACCCTTCAAATTCTTCTAACTGGTGTTGCAACCCTGTTAATATCCGGATTGCTGAGGGCAGCTTGTGCTACCTTTGACCCTCCTCATCGTCTGGGGGCTCCAGCAGATGAGCCCCACTGAATCCTGTCGGGCAGCTGGCAAGGTCCTTGTCCCCGTCACAGGAAGAGAAGGGGTGAATGTGGGGCCATCCAGCGCCAGGGCAGGGCTCAGCCTGAGAGTTTGCACAGATCCACATCCCCCTTGGCAGCTCACAGGCCCATCTGAGAGGGGTCAGGCTGAGCCAGCACCCAGTCTGTCCTGCCAGTGATGAGGGAGGCCTCAGGGCACATCAGACCAGGTCCTGGGGTGCCTGCTCTGCTGCTTCCCAGCAAGATTGGGATTCACATGTCACTGCAGAAACAAAACAGCACTTCTGAAAGCAAACAGAGCTGGTTTCAAACAGCAGCAGCAAAACACAAGGAGAGGGATTTCAATCACAGCCCTTCTTGTGTGTGTTTGGCTCTCTGGGGACTAGCCCAGGACCTGGCTCTTGGGGCTGGGAGGTAACATTTCTGCCCTGAGCCTGAAAAGATACGTTTTTTTATTTTCAAAGTCCTTTTCCCCGGGTCTCTGCCTGATTCTCTCCCCACTCTTTGCCAGCCAAGGGTATTGATCTCAGCAGGGTCACCAGTAAACTTCAAAGGGACTCACACTTGCACTGGTTGTTGAGGGACCATGAATGGCACCATCTGAGTCTTATCACTTCCCTCTGCCTCCAGAGGAGATAACAGCGCCTCAGGAACACTCTGGCCATCTCACAGCCAGGCTGGTGACAGTCACACCACCAGCCAGGACACACTGTTTGCTGATAATTACTTCTGTTTCTTCATAGCTGCTCCTGCAGCACCATCCCACAGGCAGCACAGGCTCTGGCACATGCACCCAACACCCACTGCTCTGCTGGCCACAGGGGAAGGAAGGACCATGGAGAGGAGCACTCTCTTGTCCTGAAACACCCCAATTTCATCATGGCACATAAAATCAAAATGACTGTGGCTATGACTCACCACTACTACTACATAATTTTTCATGATGTCACATCATACCTGAAGGAACAAGGGGAAAAGTAAAACATTGACAAGATTTACATTTCTAGCTGGTGACATAACAGTTATAAGGCACCAGGCCAGCATTTAAACAGCTGGAAAACCGAGCCCCACCTTCCACTGTAATTTTCCGTGCATTAGCAATAGATTTGGTTACAGTTACTTGGTTACAAGCACCTGCACTTAGGTAGAATTTCAATCCTGTAACAACCCAAGCTCCCACCCAAACCAAAAACTCCTTCTTGCCAGGTAATGGGCAAACACGGCCATGGCCACCCCAGCCCAGCCATTCCAATCTCCACACCAGCTGCACCACTGGGCACTGGCCTGCTGGCTGGGAATCCCTGGACTGGGGGACAATCCCAGGTCACCCTGCTCATGGGGTACTGGTGGGTGGATGGAGGAGAGGAGGAAGGTGCCCAGAGCCAGCTGCCCCCACTGTTACCATGATGCACGTGGCAGAGGGGACATTCCTTTGGTCTGGGAGCATCTGTGCTCAGATGTCCCTGCCTTTGAGAGACCCCTGTGTTGGAACTCACAGCCAGCACGTAGGGGGTCCTAAGCCATCACCCCCCCAAGGAGGTCCCCAGTCCATAGCCACCAGCTGGGGGTCTCTGGACCTCTGGTGAACCCCTGGCCAACACGTGTGTGGTCTCCTCAGAGGGTCCCCATCCCACAGCCGATTAGCAGGAGAGCT